AAGTAGATTAGTGCTAAATCTGGATATACCCCTAGGAGATCCTTTCCAGCCAACTCAAGTAAAGGACCCAGAAACAAGAGAGATTATTCTCATGGGTAAGATCAGGAATGATCCTGAAAATACTTAATTTAACAACAAGTAAGAGAACAAACTGTTGGCTTGATGATTGACTTGCATCCTTTCCCTTTCTCCAGCTTTTTCACCACTAACATCCCATTCCAGTATGTGAAGATGACTCTCAGGCAGTATTGATAGATAACTTGCAGGGACATACGCTGTTAGGCATTTGTCCTTTGGACTACAAATGCTGGTGTTACCATTAGGAGTATTTTTTGTTTGTTTGTTTTTGGTACCAGGGATCGAACTCAGGACCTTGTGCTTATGAGGCAGGTGGCAGCACCACTGACTGAGCTAAATCTCTGGCCCCACCATTAGGCGTGTTGTCTCCCCTAAAGAAAGGGTCCAGGCTTTCTTGAGTCAGGAGGACACATGAAGGCAGGTTAGCTGGCAGAACTCAGGATGTACTCTTACTGTGGGCCAGGCAGGGATTGGAGGCAGAGCATAAACAATTTTCTTTGCCTATAGGTTCCAGTAATGGTACTTGGGATGTGAAATCTTTGTGAGGATGACTGTGGAAGACATCAATCAGCTGTACAGATGCCCACCCATCTTAACTTTATGGGTGGTTCAGGGTCCCAGAAGCCTCCCCCTGGCTTACATAGGCGTTAAACTTTAGTTTCTAGAAGGCCATAGGAGGCCAAAAGATGGGTTATGGGGGGTATCCTCAGGAATTAACCAAGTGGGCAGTATTTACATACAGGAAATATATAAATATCTTAACATCTCTGAGGACTCTGCCAGTCAGTACTGCGGATTATTTATCTGCATGAACGGACAAATAGGTCAAATCAGGAAGACTAATAGTATTCTCAATTAACATTTTGTCTATGAAATAGATTCCATATGATATCTTAATATCTTACCAAAGCTTGCTCTCCTTCCTTCCCTCCCTTCCTCCTTTCCTTCTTTTCTTCTTTTCTTTATTTTTTTCTGAGACAGGGTTTTGCTATGTAGTCCAGGCTGGCCTTGAACCTGGAGTGATCCTCCTGCCTTAGCCTCCTGAGTGCTGGAATTACAGGGTTGCCCCACCACAGCTGGATAGCAAAGTTATTTCTTTATTGAGATTATTTGGCAACAGAGGTAGAAGTATAAATAGTTTTGTTTAGTGTAAAAACGTTGTTCTCTACCAGGTTAAAAAAGTTGTGTGTTTTTAGAAATTAATTTTTTTGTCTGTTTAAAAAAATCTATGCATTTTTTTATATTCTGTGTCTGTGAGATAACTAACATTGCCCAATATCCAGCAAAACGGACTTAAAAGCTCACAAAGGTCTAGAAACGTGTATAAATAAGAAGAAAGTTTTTTGGAAAGTGAGATCATAATTTCTAACAGAACTCTAGTTTTTTGTAGCTTTACTTCATGAATAAAAATCTTGTTATTTAATTATCAATCTAGCCAGTAGAAAATCTATTGTCATAAACTTTTCAAGACATGGAATTGTCTTGTGTTTCAGCTAATCTTATTTTCCATCTGAGCCATAATAGAAATAATAATAATAATGCTCTTAAATTATAATAAGACAGTGCTTGCTTTGTGTCAGATTGTTTTAAGTAGTTTACATGTATTAACTCCTTGATGTTCACAGTAACTTTAACACAGATTACCTATTACTCATTTTGAAAAAAGGAAATTTTAAACAGAAGGAGCTTGAGTAACTTACCTAAGATCATATAGTTTGTAAGAGTGAGGCAAGATTTGATCTCTGGCATTCCAGCTCTAAAATCAATGGTCTTAAGTAATTTGTAAGGCAAGTCTTATATCTAGAAACCACTGTTTATGTTATATATGTTCGCACATGTTATATCGTTGAATATCTTGGTTTATTTTTATATTACTATGTTTTCCTTAGATCTTATAAGGCCACGAGATACATACCAATTTTTTGTTGAGCATGGCGAGTTAAAAGTATATAAAACATTGGATACACCCCTTTTTTCTACTGGGAAGTTGGTATTAGGACCATATGAAGAAAAGGGAAAGCAGCATGTTGGTGAAGATATACTGGTGAGTATATTTCTCCATGTATGTTTTGCTCTAGGTACAACTCTGATTTGTTGGATTTGATGAGGCATTAAAATGTTATTTCCCTAGTAATGAAATCTTCTTACTGAGCTGCAGAAGAAATTGTATTTTGTTAACTGAGCTTAGAGGCAGCCAACCACTGGTTCTTTAAAAGTACCTTTTTATGCACAGCACTGTAGCCTTCAGATTCAGAGGTTTTAGGAATGATTTTTACTAAAAGGAATCTTAGAATATAGGCTTGCAAATAAAGCATTAGAATTTTAGAGCTGAAGGGGGTTATATAGATTAGGTCTAATTCCTTATTTCTTTGATCATGCAATTGAGAAGCAAGTTAGGCAACTTCAGCAGTCACTGAAGCAGTTAGTAGTGAAGTCATGATTAATAATTGCTTCAGTAAGTACTAAGTAACATTACTGACTAAAGTTATAATGTGATTTAAGGTGAGTCATTCAGTCTCTTGCTCCATGTTTCGTCCCCCATTGGAGACATACTGTACCTCTTGGGGAGTGTGTGTGTATGTGTAAGATAAAGTTGAAAACTGTAAAGTTCAAAAACATTAAATTTTGTGGATGTTTACATGGTGCCATCATTTTAAAAATGTCATAACTAAGAGACATTGTTTATTCAGTATGTGACATTTCAGGAACCTGAAATCCTGAGTTATTAAAGCATTCCATTCAAAATAATTCTTTTTAATAAGAAAATTAAAATAAGCTCAGAAGGGAGGAATAAAATTCATCAAAACCTTGAGTTATATTAACAAAGAAGGACAAATTGAGGCAAGGAAAGGAAAAGGCACATACGAGAGTAAAGAGTAATTTATTACTACATCAGTATAAGTAGAATCCTAATTTAAATAATTTTAAAATATTCATAAATCTAATCTTAAAATGTTATAGAGCTCCAGGTTTTATTTAAAGAGTAAAAATTGCATTTTTAAAGCCATAGTCCCTGTTAAATAAGAGAATGATAACGAAGAGAAACATTAGACGTTTCACTACTGAAATAATAGCAGTTAACCATTAAACTGAAAAGGAAATTTTAATAATATTTGAAAGCCATTAACCTGGCTAATATTCCAAGGTATCCACATTTAAAAATAAATGATACTTTATAATTACTAAGTAGAAATTATTAGAAAAATATTCATACTCTGTGATGTATGCATGTCATTTCTAGGAATTTTTCCTAGGATGATAATTTAAGAGTTGAGGGGAAATTGTATTTATTGTAACATTGACTGTTAACATAATTGTAAAAATTAGAAACAAGTGTTGTCAGAAGAAAATGTTAAATTTTTAATAGTGGAATAAACCATTATACTATATGATATGATAAAGCTTATCTGGCCCTTATATACTCCAAGCACTGTTTTGAGCACTTTAAAATTATTTTAAGCACATTACTTTGAAAATTAGCCCTGTTAGAAGATGACTGGGAGAACATTAAAGCAAATGTGCAAGATAGGAAATTCTTTGTTTTTTGGACTAGAATTTTAAAATGTAAATGATAAAAACATGAAGATAATATAGAAAAAATATTTTACTGTGTGGTTGTAGCTGATTTTGTCTCTTTTACACTGTCCTTTTTTACTAAGAAAAATGAAAGTTTTTTTTTTTTCATTCAGTTCTACTCAGCATTTATTTTCATTTGATGATAGTGGGAATTATACATAAATCAAGGACAATAACAAGTTCTTGTTTGGCAAATGTCCACATAAATCTGTTAATCCTTAATATAGATACAGTATTTTTAATAGAAAGGCATTTAATAGCAACTGATAACTGTAAACTACAGTGGATACAAAGTTTTGTGTAAATTAATTGCCATTTTTAAAAGGCAACTGCTGTAGCTCAGAAGGTACAAAAACTGGTAACTTCCATAAATATAACAAGAAGCTAATTGAAGAAATACACAACAGACTGTTTTCCCTATATAATATTTGAATATGCAAACTAAGACACCTGTGGCACTTTACTGGAAAGTAGGAATAGCAGATGCACCCCCACCTCCCAACCCCCATCCACCTGACCAGGCCCTCCCCCTCCCCCACATGTATTTCCAAAACATGGCAAATTCTAGGGTTACAAGAACAGGATACTGCTCTGAAAACAGCAAGACAGCAAGCTCCAACCTGCTAGACAAAGATGGAGCCTTACTGACAGTTGTGAAACATTAGGCGTCAGACAGAAACTTGTCAAAACAGCTCTTGTTGGGTACTGATTGATAATATTTTCATTCTGATGGCTTGAGTCTGAGGAAAAGCCCATCACTGGCAAACACATGAACACATATAGACAACGGGAAGTCATTTAACAGATGGCTTGGGACACTCAGCCACAGTATCTTAAAAAGACAATATTCTACATTTAATGAACTTGTGGGGAAAGAAAGGCCTAATAGTCACTTATTGTTTCATAGAAGATGAGCACAATAGGACAAAATAAAAATAGGAATTGTACAAATGATCATTGGAATACAACTTCTGGGCTGCTCGTGGATTTATTACACTGTGTTAGAAATATTCAAGGATATTGCAGACAAAATTGTATATACTATGGATCTTTTGGGATCATAAAGAAATGTTGGATGTTTCAAAGGTGATGATGTCATTAGAAATCCGTTTATAAATTTAAATCACAAAATTGTCTTTGAATGATGTGAAGGGTCTGAAGTATATTGGCTGGGGAAAATTACCAGGTTTTATGTCATCTTTTAATACAGTAGGAGTCTGTGGTATTTGGGTATCAGTCTACACTACTTAAAAATTCAAGTATGTTTTTACTGCTCAGGTGTAGGGAGCAGTTTTCTATCATTTGACCACTTAGTATTTTAATAAGTGGTCAAAAGTCTGCAAAATGTGCCAAAGAATATTTTACCTGTGAACCTCAATATCCATAGATTATTCTTGATTTAGAAAAGGTCAAAGGCATTAAAGCTTATTAAAACTGCATTTAATCTCTATGCAATTTTATCATTTAAATAACATGGAAAAAATTAGTATCAAAGACTGAATCCAGGCCCTCAAATTATTTATCTGCTGCAGCCCCAGCATATTTTTAAGGGCACACTGAAACTCCTGAAAATAGAGATTTATAATAGAAATACTGATGGACCTTAACTACTAGATGGAGGCTTTAACAGACTCTGTTAAACTACATTAGCACTTAATGAATAAATATACAGATGGTTTTGTCTTTGATATCTTTGTCAGATCCATTCCAGCTTAAACCCAAATGAGTATATACTATACTTTGCTTGGCTGTTTTAAAATTTTAATCTATTAAAAATTATTTTCTCATGGGCCGGGCATTTAGCTCAGTGGTTCTGCTGTCTGCTGTGCAAGAGCAAGGACCTGAGTTCGATCCCTGGTACCAAAAAAAAAAATTATTTTCTCTGTTTCTAACATTTTGAATTTTAGAAAAAAGGTATGTGTATTATGTTGCAGCTTGATTTAATGGCAGGCTAATTATACCATTAAAAATATTTAAGGACACAATTAAATGTAATTAGTGATGCATGCATTGTGCCTAAATTTCCACCAACTCCTCAAAACCTAAATCAGTGTCTTTGCTCTTAAAAGAGGAAAGAAATTGAGACCTCAGATATAATCAAGGAAACACTGTGCATCTGGTCTTTAAGATCTTCAAAGTTGGGGCCGGGGATTTAGCTCAGTGGTTTCGCTGCCTGCTGCTCAAGCACAAGGACCCGAGTTTGATCCCCGGTACCAAAAAAAAAGATCTTCAAAGCTAAATTTACTATGGCAGGATATTCTTTGATAATACAATGATAAATGAACAATTTTGATACTCATTTTTCATTCATACTCTGTAAGGTCAGTATATAAAGAAGTAAATAAGAGTCTTGAAAAATGTCTTGAAAAATGACATACATATTATGTGGAGTTCCAGTGACACAGTACTCCACTCCCAACAGGGAAAATTCATCAAGGTACTTAGTCTTTCTGAGTTCTTAAGGGGTTTGGTTTCTGTGAGCCATGAATTCCATTCATTTTTGCACAAAGAGATGCATAAAAGAGATGTTCAGAACAACAGAAGAAAGAGACAGGTGGTGAAGATAATTAGCGGTAAACAGAAAATAAATTCTCAGTAGTGTACTTGACATTAATGCTGATGATAATTCACCTGACTTACAGAATATTCACTTTAAGAGAGCCTGAAATAACTAGCAGAAAATAGATAGTGGAGTCATGATAGTACCGATAACAACATAAAATTAAAACAAGAAACTAACACAATAGGTTCAAGGCCTTTTAGGAACTCGCTTTTTTTCTGCTAGATTCACATTCTCATAGCTTCCTGGTCTTTTTCTTCTAACAAACTTATCAGCTGAGAGAAGCTGTCTTTCAGCACATCCATGTCATCCAGTGAACAGGGTTGCAGAATCTAGCGTTTTCCTCATGCAAGTGGTTCAAGTTCAAAATATTTTTTGATCTCTTGCACTGAGCGTCCTGCTTTCTTGTCTTAATGATTGGCCAGTATTAAAAGGTAAAGTGTATAACTGTGGCTGTTGAAAAGCTGAGTGCCGTTCATTTCTAGCAGTTTCTAAATGATCCTCTGAAGAAGCACTGTCTGATACAAATATTAGCCCTTGAGATTCTTGGTAGTAGCGACTCCAGTATTTTCTGATATTATCAGCTCCTCCAAGTTCTTTTACATTCAAGATGGCATTCTGAATGGCACTGCCTTTATACTAGAACCTGTGGTTGACATGACATTCTCAGGGCTTTCACTGCACAGCTTTGACAGCAGACTGGTGTTGCCAGAACCTGTGAGGTCTATGCATACTAGATGATACTCCGGTCATGCAGGTGGTGGTCCCTTGCAGCAAAGTGCTCTAAAACACAGATAATCCATGTTGAAAATTTTTCTTTTAATAGAGGAATATTTTCACTTTTTAAAATAACATGAAGCACATTTATATGTTTCTGAGAAAAAGGCGGGGTAACAAACCAGAGAACCACTATTGGCCAGTAACTTTTCTTAAAACATAGTGCTGCAAAGTCTGAATAAGAAAGAATAGCAGTGAAAGATTTCTTAAAATCAAACCACAAAGGGTGGAGGGGGAAGCTTGGTGGCAAAGCGCTTAACCATAGGGCCCTAGGTTCTGTCCTCAGTATACCTCCTCCCGGTCAAATCAAACCACAGATAGTTAACAAGTGAAGTCTGAGAGCTGATTGTGGAACTTGCTCGGAAGACACCAAAAAGAGATTAAGAAATAGAAAATACAAAAATTAAAAGGTGCAAAGAACAGGAAAATAAACATGGCAGTGTAAGAATTTTAGGAAGAAAGAGGGAAAAAACCCTAAAAAAAACCTATCTCAAGGTCTTGTTTGCCATGTAATGTGTAGCATGTTTACAGGTTCTGGAGATTAGAACATGGGTATCTATGAGAGCTGTTCTGCCTACTGCATTTCCTTTAAGAATTTTTGGAATATATTTGTGGTTCAATTTGAAATGAAATTTTTATTTTTAATTTTATAGGTTTTTTATGTTAATGTTGGTGACCTTTTGTGTACCTTACATGAGACACCTTATATGATAACTACTGGGGATTCATTTTATGTTCCTTCAGGTAAGAATAACTGAAGACATTTTACTTCACATAGTTAAAACATTAGTATAGTTACATGTACCATGAAAATGGAAGCCACAGTGGTCAAAACAAAAGTATGTTGTGACCAGTACCAAAACAGTTTAGTACATATTTTCTTTCATTTTATCATTAGGTAATTATATTAGTGTTTTTATACATGAAGATGATTCCTTTATTGTTGAATATAAAAGACTAGATGGGATGTTGCATTCCAGGATATATTTCCGCTATGTCATCTCTTAAGACATTATGTAGCCAAACTGTTTTTGGTGGATTAAAGATACAGAACAGTATACTGAAGAACATAAGTCATTGGAAATAATTATTTTAATTTATTCATTCAACAGATATGAATAAGAGTTTGCTGTGGCCAAGATTTACTCTAAAGGATAAATAAATGAGTAAAACATGGAAAAAAATCTTTACACTTACGAAGCTTAAACTCTAAAGGAGGGAGAAAATATTAGCTATATTTATATAGCCCTTAGTATATGCTAGCACTATTGGGAATACTTTATTAACTTGGTTAAGTTTTATCAATTTTGAATGTATAGAAAATTGCAATTTTTACTGAAAAAAACCCTACCATTTGTAATGCTGTCCATCTGTATAAACTTTTGCTATTATTCATTACCTTTTTTTTTTGTACCCAGGATCGAACCCAGGACCTTGAGCTTGCGAGGCAGGCATGGCATCACTACCTTATTGTTAATAGCACCATTTGCCTTTTTATTTCTTTTTTGGTTTTTCGCGACAGGGTCTTGCCTTGTAGTACAGTCTGGCCTTGAACTCTTGGTGATCCTCCTGCCTCAGCCTCTGAGTGCTGGGATTACAGGCATGTGCCACCACACCTGGCATTGCCTTTTTAAAATTAAGAAATATAAAATTTTTATTTAACCTATACCTTTTATACTTCATTATATATTAATGAAGCATATGTATCTGATTAGGAGAATCTATCCACAACAGTTCCAAAGATTTCATAATGATTGCTTTCAGAAAGAGATTTTCTTTTCTTGCACTCTTTTTTTTTTTTTTTTTTTTTGGTACCAGGGACTGAACTCGGGTCCTTGCGCTTGCGCAGCAGGCAGTGAAACCACTGAGCTAAATCCCCGGCCCTCTTGCACTCTTTTCTAAATTATCTATGCATTTGTTACAGAATGATATAAAGTTTATATTCTTTCAAGCCATATCTGTATTAATGGGTGGTAGTTAACTCTTGGATCTTTTGAGTTCGGGAAGTAAGAGTTACTTTGAATTAGGTGAATTATTTTTATTTTGTGTTATGTATTGTAACTGTCAGATGATTACTCAAAAAATGTTTTCTATGGAAATAATTTTATTATTTTTTTTCTTTAGGTAATTACTACAACATCAAAAATCTCCTGAATGAGGAAAGTATACTTCTGTTTACTCAAATAAAGAGATGAAATGACAAGGCAGGTTTAAATAGGGGTGTATGTGTGTGTGTGTGTGTGTGTGTGTATGTATATATATGTGTGTGTTTTTTATATATATATATATATATGTGCACATACACACTATATAAAATAGTTTGTATGGTTGAGACATTTATGTTTGTAACTATATGCAATATTTTTAAATAAAAATTTTACCCAGTTTCTGTGGAACTTGTATTAGTTTTTTTTTTTTTTTAAATAACTTTGGCACGTGTGCTAGACATGATATTACATCTTAGGGAGTATGTGCTTATACTTAACGTACTGTATCTTGATTTTCTCTTCTTTTTTTTTTGAGGGTCTTGCTATGTAGTTCAGGGTGACCTTGAACTAGTGGTGATTCTTTTTCTCCCCTTTTTCCCTTCCTCTGTTGTTAGATCCCTTTCTGTCATTATTATTAGTATGTTTTTTAGTTCATGTTTGCAACACATAATGGTTACATTCATTATGGGTACATGACACATCTTACATCTTTTTCATCCCTTTTCCCTAACCCCTAGTTCTCTGTCCAAGGTGTAGCTGGCAAATTTTTTTTCATATTCTGTAGGTTTTCTCTTCACACTGTTGATTGCTGTACAGAAGCTTTGTAATTTGATCTAATTTTGTTGGTTCTTGATATTATTTCTTGTGTCATTGGATTCTGTCCATAGTCTTTGACTACATCTGTGACTTAAAGAGTTTCACTTACTTTGTCTTACAATAGGTTGTTTCTGTTTTAAAATTTAGATCATCGATCCATTTTGGTTTTAGTTGAGTACTTGGTGAGAGATGTGGATCTAGCTTTAGTCTTCTGCCTGTGGATAGCCAGTTTTCCCACCAGCATTTGCCTCTTTAGGCTGTTTTTCCTCCAACATGTTTTTGGCTCCTTTGTCAAAGACCAAATAGCTGAATGTGTCTAGGGTTTTTTCTGCATCTTGCATTCTGTTTCATTGATCTTCATGTCTGTTTTAGTTCCAGTACTATGCTGTGTTTGTCACTATAGCCGTGTAGTATAACTTGAAGTCCAGGATTGTGATGCCTCCTGCTTTACTGTTATTACCCAGGATTGCATTTGCTACTCTGAGTATCTGCTGGTTCCATATGAATTCTTTCTTTCTTTTATTTTTGAGACAGGGTCTCTTTATATAGTTCAGGCTGGCCTTGAACTCATGGCAGTCCTCCTGCCTCAGCCTCTCCAGTTCTTGGATTACAGACTTACACTACCATGCCCTGCTTCTGTCTTTTCATTGGGCGTCTGGGATTTTGACTAAGTATGTCTTGAGGAGTTTCTTTTTTAAGTGTTGTTAGTTGGAATTCTATAAGCCTCATGGTCTAATCTTTCTGCACACTTGAAAAGTGTTCTATTATGATTAAACAGATTATTTATTTTTATTTCATAAAAATCTATCTTCTAGTTTCTAACTCGTTAGCCTTAGGGGTTTTTTTCTTTAAAAATTATTATTTATTTACTTTTCATTAATACCTATTTGCACTGCATAATGATTACACTCATTGTGAGGAGTTGTTACATATAAATAACATATCCTAATTCTTTTTTTTAATCCCCTGTCCCTCCTCCCTCCCTCCAACTCTTGTTTTATTCATTAATTTTATTGGTACATTTTAAGTCTACAGTATGCTGACATTCATTATTGGCAATTTGTACCGTTACATAATGTATCTTGGTTCTTATTTTTTTCCCATTCCCCTGCCCTCTCTTCAACCCCTCCACCCTTCTCTATTTACAAAGACTTTGTTTCCATTTTTTCCTTTTCTCATATTTATTCCTTTCCCTTCTTTCCTTTCCCCTACCACTCCCACTTCTCCTTCCCCTTTGGACCTTTTCTTCCTATTTCACATTATTATACATTTAGTCCTTATTTACACTTTCAGTTTCTCACACCAGAGAAACTATTGGTCTTAACATCATCTAGTTGCTGATGGATTACTTTATCTTGTTTTTCTGTTTTTAAAGCTTCTCTGAGAAAGTTGTTGTAATGTACCATTTTGTCCTTGATTTCAGAAACCCTGTCTTTGCATTGATCATCTCTGTAGTTTATGAATTACATACAGTTTTTTATTTTTCTGTTTGACACATTTTCATGGGCAGATATATCTGATAAATTTATCATTCATGCTTTGAACTGTTTTGATCTGCTCTTCCAACTTGTTTCTCCCATATTCACATATGTCAGTTTGTTTGGTAGGTTCATGAACTTTTGGGTAATGACCTCTATGAACTTGCTAAGTGTCTTTACCTTTTCTTTAATAGGCTCATAAAGCCTTGCTACCTTTTTAGGCTTTCCATCAGTGCCCCCTGGACCTGCATTATGAGAGTTTGAAGTTCTTGGGGACATTTGTTGCTTTGTTTTTCCATGTCTCCCTCTCCCTATACCTCTCCCCCTCCCCCTCTTTTTTTTGTGTGCTGGTGGTCAAAGTAGAATAAGGAGAGATTGTACTTGATATGAAGATCTTTCTAGTTATATTCTACCTTTGAGTGATGTGTTCCTGGCTTTTTTCTTTCTTTTTTTGTACAGAGATAGTGGTGTTCACCCCTTCCATTATTTAATTTTAATGGTTTGGACCCTGTCACTTTGTTGTGATGAGAGACTTACTACTGGTTAAAATAACATCAACAGAACCAATCATGCATCACTTAAATGTGTTCAGCCTTACTTTACACATTCAACCTTTATCAGTAACCTTTACAGTCTATACCAGTGATGGTGAACCTTTTAGAGATGAGTGCCCACTCTGGAACCAACAATCCATTTATTTATTGCAAAATGCCAACACTGCAATTAAACCTAAATACTAAGGTTTTAGTTTAGGAAATGAACTCATACTTAAACATCTTTTGTCTTAAAAATACGCATGCCATAGGTTCAACACCATTTGTCTATACTATATTGTTTTTAGTAGTTACTGTGGGATGTGGAAGGAGAATGGAGGGAAAGAGTTGAGAGGGAAGGGTGAAAGAGGGATGTAAGTCAGTAGGAAGAGAGGTACATAGGAGAAGTAGGTAAAATTGGGTCAAACTCTGTTGGGGCCCCTTTATAGTTGGAGTAAGGGGATTGTTGAGGGTTTTAAGGTATTTGTGGGGGTAGGGGCAAGATGTAGAAGGAAGGAGGTGTAATTTTGGATGAAGGAAAGCTACAGTGTTGTTAGAACTTGTTGATATATTTATGCACCTGTAAGGTGGAGAAGAGGCAGAGGACTAGGTGAAATGAGGAAGAGCAAAAGGAATAGAATATAAAAGACAGAAGGTTAATATGAGAGAAGATAGAAAATACTGAAAGGGCAGCGTATAGGGGAAAACCCCGAAGAATTTAAAAAGTAGGAGAAACTAGCAAAAAATAAAATAATATTGGTACAAAAGCTAGTATTGAAAAGGAATAGAAAGAAGAGAGAAAAAAAATAACTGCATCAAAGTACAAAAAGAGAAAAGCAACACAAAAATCTAGTGGGAACCCAGATCAAACACTCCAACAAGAGAACAAACATGCAGTTCCCACTTGTCTGCTATGCCATAAAGCCTAAGTGCACATGGTTCCCTTCCTGTTTCAGCTGTGGTCTGTTTATATGCAAACACACTATTTCCCCTCTTATCTCTGGTGAGGGGCGTCACTTTCCTTTGATCTCACCTTAACGGAAGCTGTGGTGGGCATTTTTAGCTGTAGTCTTAGGTTGCCATCCTACAATCTGAGTGTCTTGTGTCAGTAGTTTCCCTTTCCAGCCAGCAAGCAGAATTGGCTGTAGTTATTAGGCTTGGGTTAAGGCTGTCCACCTCCCAAGAGTGACTATGATCACTGTTTAGGTTTTCCTGCTAACTCAGGTTTTTCTGGTCTTTATGGAAACAGGGAAAAGCTCACTGGATCAACTAATCAGTCCCACCCTACCCTCATAGATGCAATTCATGGTCACACCCTGTTTGTGGGCAGGCACTGTTCCCCCATTATCTTTATTTGAGTTGGGGAGGGCTTCCCTTGCCCACCATTGAACACCTGGTTCAGCACCTCAGAGCATACTGCAGGGATGCAGTGTTTGGGGGTGGGGTGATGGGGAGAAGGGGCTGATATACACAGAATCTGTCCCCGGAAATAGGCCTCTGCAGTGCAGAATGAACTGCTAGTTCATTCTGTCAGGCTACTTGGCACATTTGTGGTGGCTGCTCCTTAGAGGAGCAGGGGTAGGGCTGCTGTGGACCGCTGTGCTGGTACTGCTTTAAATTATGTCAAACACTTAAAGCAGAAAAAAGAAGGAACACTTCTCCCCTCATTTTAGGAAATCAACATTGTGCTAATAGTAAAACTGGATAAAGATAATAGAAGAAAAAAGTATGAACATAGATAGAAATTTGATGCAGTGTTGGTTCAGCATTGGAAGATCCACCCCCAAAAGTCATCATTTTAACAGAGGAAAGGGAAAAAGCCATATGATCCTGTCAGTAGTTGGAGAAAAAGTATTGGACTAAATTCTACAGCTGTTCATGGTAAAAGCTATCCCCTTTTCAATGATCCAGATAATTAATTGGTTTGATCTACATATATCCTATTTCAGATTCATTTTCTGCTTCAGGGTCTAAGTACTTCCCCTGTATCAGAGTACCTGTACTTTTAGTGAATCCCTTCTGAGTATCTCTGGTGCTGCTACTCCTCTAGTCAGCCTTGTTGGGTCTCCCAGCATATATTAGTTTTGGAGGTTTCAGTCCTCGGTTGCTTAGCTCCGTCACCTTTGGGACTGCAGTGAGGTTGCACATCATGGCCACTAAGGAAAATGATATTTTAATTATATGTAAAGAGTACCAGAATCACTGCTCCCACAACAAACACACATGCTTTTGTCAGAGAGCGATTAATGTCGGTTCATCTAAACAGCGTTTTCTAAATATTAGCTTTAATGCATTGATTATTAAATAATAGTATAGAACTGTGGTAATTGAACATCTGTATTAGTTTCCTAGGGCTACTGTAATAAAATATAGACTCAGTGATGTAAAGAATAGAAATTTAGCCAGGGATTTAGCTCAGTGGTTCTGCCACCTGCCCCCTCAAATGTAAGGACTCAAGTTCGATTCCCGGTACCAAAAAAAAAAAGGAATAGAAATTTATTGTCTCAATTCTGGAGACTAGAAGTCTGAAATCAAGATATCATCAGGCAGTGATGTTTTAGAAACCTGTAGAAAAGAATCTGTTTATAACTTCTGGTGGTTTGCTGGCAATCTTTGACATTCCATGGTTTTTCACCTGCAACACTACAATTCCTGGCTCCATTGTCAGATGACCTTCTTTGCTTATGTGTCTTTGTGTGGATGTGACATCTATTCAACTACTATGTCACTTTTTTCCTATCATGTATCTATTCATATTTGCTGCTGGAGGTGGTATCTTCTGACACTGCTGCATGTGGCCTCCCCTACTTTAACATTAAAAGTGAAATGTTTCAGTAAATAAATCTGAGCTAAATAGTATTTTTAATTTCAAGGAGTATAGATTCATGTTATGATTACCATCAACTTTAAATAAGTTGATGTTTCATGGTAAATTATTCTGAGACCAGCAATTTTTCAGGTCTCATTTAACAATTGTCTTAGTTGCTTTTTTTGTTTCTGAGAAAAAATACCCAACACCCAAATTTAAAGGAGGAAAGGTTTATTTTGGCTCACAGTTTGTGGAGCTTTCAGTCCACAGTCTGCTGTCTCCAAGTTAAAGTAGCATGGCAAAAGGGCAACTCAGAGGAGAAACAGTTCATGGTAGGTGAAAGACAGCAAAAAGCAGTGAAGTAGTGAAGAAGCTGCAGTGTCCACAGCAGCCCTCTTTCTACCTCTTAATTCTATTCAAGCCACCATCCTTAGGGCAAGTAGCACTCACACCGAGGGTGGGGCACCCTTAATCCTACCCAGAGCTATTCCAAACCTATCAGTGGACTAATTTAGTAACTACAAACTTTTGATCCCAGCATCACACAGTTAACTCCAGCATCACAGTCTAGATCCACCCACCTCTGCAAAGCCCCACTGATGGCCACATGAGGCTTTGGAGGGACATCTAGATAAAAGCCATAACAATAATTAAGTACATTTTAAATGCTATTATGGGAGGTGAAGTGCAAGAGGAATTAGGTATGAGATATAAGGTGTTTCTAAATGCCTTTTTAAAAATTTCTCCTTTCATAAATCGTGGAGGATTATTTCTCTTTGTGATGAGTTTGCTGTTGATGGCATTTCATAGGCCTAAGTATAACATTAGTATTATTTCCATTCATGTATGAAGTGGTTTGATTGTGTTATATAGAAATAATATGAGATTAATTTTCTATTTCTAATCTCTTGAAGTGGAGGGTTTAGAATTTTTGTCATTTCTAATTCAGGTCTCATTTAACAAAGGAGCTGCAGAACTCCTTTGTAAGTACTGTTAGCTTATCATAAATTTTACTATGCCACATTTTTATTCTCAATATTTTCTAATTTTCTTGTGATATCTTTATTGACCAATGATTTATTTTGATATGTATCTTTAAAAGTTCCAAGCACTAGAGAATATCCTGTTATTTTCCTGCAATTTAAATATTTTTATCTATACTAGTGTGTTCATTCATAGCTATTCAGTTATCCATTTATAGCATGAAAGCAGCCATATAGAATAGGCAAATGAATAGGCAGGATTATATTCTAAAAACCTCTTTATTCAACACAATAAGTTAGATATTTTCTGTATTTTGCCAGCCACTGATACGGCCAGAGAAAAGTTGGTATAATTTCAACCTTCTATGTTTACTAAAGTTTATTGATTCATACCATATTGTATCTTGGAAAATATTTCATGTGTATTGGAATCACATGTATTCTGTTGTGTAGGTTAGAGTATTGTATGTCTGTTGCAACAGATTAGTATTCTACGTATTCGATACTGATTTTTTTGTGTGGTTATTCTATTACTGATACAGGAATATCAGTACTCTTCATTCCATGAAATATCTCTTCTCCAAATCTTCCAGTTTTTGCATTAAATATTTTGAGACTGTTACTAAGTTTATATATGGTATTTATTTATTGTTATATCTTCTTGCTCTGTTGACCCATTTATTATGAAATATTTCTCATTTTAATCTATATTCTTTCTGCTATTACTATAAACATCAGCTGTCTTGTAGTCACTGATACATCTTTTTCTCTTTATTATGACTTTACATTTAAATGTGTCTGGTAGAAAGTATATACATCTTGATTTTTTTTTAGTACAGTCTCACAATCTTGGCTTGTCATTGGAGTGTTTATGTTTAATGTAAATATTGGTATAATTGCAATCATGTCTGCCATTTTGTTGTCTGTTTTCTCAATTTCTCATGGATTTTGTCTTCATTCCTTAATCCCTTATTTTGGGTTACATGTTTTAAAAAACTTTTTAATTTAAATCTGGATTTATCTCTTTCAGTTTTTCTTTTTAGTTATTCCTTCAGAGATTACTATATTTGGCTCTAATTTATCCTGACATCTATCAGTTTACTGCTTATTCTGGTAAATAAAGCAACTTTGCACCAACATAGCCTAATTTCTTTTCCCCATTTTTAAGTTATTATTATATGCATTATATTATAACATGCATATATCTAACTGTGTGTATTTATATATCCAGGTTATTGTGTGTTGTAATTATTACTGTGAATTCCTTTTTAAAATTAAAACATGTATTATTTATAAACAGTTTTTTTATTGTCATTGGTGCTTTCCTTGTGTCTTATTTAGTATCTGGTGTTTTTCCTTCTGCACAAAGAACTTTAATATTTCTTACATATTAGTAACACATTTTCTGATTTTTATAAGTTTCTAGGAATGTGTTTATCTTGACTTTATTTCTGAAAGATAGTTTCACTTGATACTAGGTTTACAGGTTGTTTTGCATTAATACTTTGTACCATTTCATTGCCTTCAGTCCTCTGTCATTTTGACAAGATATCCACTGTAAATCATGGCATTCCCTTCTATGTGGTGAATCATTTTTACCAAGCTACTGTGAAGATTTTGGTCTTTAATCATTGTAGTTTGTATCTGAAAAAACCCATGGGTTGAAGGCTTTGTCCAGATGTAGTAGCATTTGGAGCACAGGTCTTTGGGAAATTGTTATGTTTTGGATCAAAAATGTGCCCTAAAAGGCCCATGTGTTCAAAGTGAAACTTCTGGAAGGTAATTAGATCTGGGGTGGAGTGATGGATTAATTTGCTGATTAGTTCATAGCTGAATATGCTGATAGGAAGGGGTACCTGGTTAAAGGAAGAAGGTCACTAGAAGTGTAACATGGAAGAGTATTTCCTACACTAGTGGTGGCTAACTTAAGGTGTGCATGTTTTTCTTTTAAGACAAAAGATACTAAAGTATGAGTTATTTTTTTCTAAACTAAAACCTCAGTTTAGTTGCAGTGTTGACAATTTAATAAGTAAGTAGGTTTTGGGTTGCAGTGTTGTTCAGCCTCGAGAAGATAGGGGCCGAGAGTAGGGGGCCACAAAGAAACAAAAGCGGGACATGGGATCCTGAAGAGAAACAGGACATTTATTCTTGGTTCATACATCTCTTATATAGTACTTACAGTGGTTATTTAAGGTGAATGCATAAACAGCAGGTGTTGTTTAATGTTTTCTTCTCTATGAATATAGTCTAATCTCTACAGAAACGGGCTGAGACACGTCTCAGGATGTTCCCATCCTTGAACTATTCCTTCAAGGGAAGACAAACAGGATTGCAGCTATGGGAAGTATGACAGGGGGCGCGATCTCTTCTTGGAGCAGAGTCAGCAGCACAAGCAAACTATCTCGGGAATGACCTCTCATACCCTTCAGCCACAGCCTGCTGGGCCTGCAAGATTAGTAAACTTGAATGTGTGACTCTTTGCCAAGAGGATCTTCCCTTAACTTCATGTCATTGCAGCTTGGACATTTGTCTCTAAAATGTTCGCCATCACTGTTACCTATAACAGGCCCTTCCTCTGTCTCTGGCTTTCTTGTTATCCTCTCTCTTTCCCTCTTCCTTCTTCTTTCTTCTCCCCCTCCCCCTTCTCCTCCCTCTCTCCCTCTCCCTCTGGGCCTTCTGGCCAACATGAGATGAGCAGTTTTGTTCCACCATGTGCTGTTGCCTTGAAGTTCTGCTTTGCAAGCCCAGAAACAGTACAGCCATGTAACCATGGGTGGCAACCTCTGAAATTGAGCCAAAGTAAGTATTTCTTTCTTGAACTGAATTCTCTTGCCTACTTTGTTAGCATTTATTTGACCATGTTTCTAGGTACTGTATTGATCCTATTAGATATTTGGTGAAATGGTGACATTTGAATGTTAATTTTTCAGTCAGATTTGGGAGGTTGGGGCTAATATTTAACTTTCTTTTCTCCTTTATCTTGCCTCTCTTCCTCATTGCACATATTTTGGAGTGCTTTTTTGTTGTCTCAGATCTTCGAAGCTCTATTTTTCCCAATTTATTAAGTTTGATATTTTTGTTGATATATCTTTAAATCACACTAGTTTACTATGTCCAATTTGCTATTGAGCTCATCTAATAAAGATTTACATTTCAAATTTTAGTTATTTTGCTTTATAGCCTTAAAATTTTAATTTGGCTCTTATAGTTTATAAACTTGTTCTTAATATATTTACTTCTAATTATTTGAATATATTTATTATGAAGTTTTTGCTTATTCAATGTGTAGACTGAGTTTTCATTGACTACATTTCCTTTAATATATTTAAAATATACCTGTTTCTTTGCTAACAATTTTTGTTTGCAAACTAGAGATTTCAGGTAATGTAGCAACTCCAGATTCTATTTTGTATCTAAGAGGTTTTGTTATTAGTATTTTGTAATTGACTGGATTGAAATTGTGGACTTTTATCTCCCCTGTGGTGTGGAGTTATTTGCTATCTCTTGTCAGTTTTTCTTTTTTTTTTGGTACCAGGGATCAAACTTGGGACCTTGCACTTGTGAGGCAGGTGGCAGAGCCACTGAGCTAAATCCCCGGCCCTCTCTTGTCAGTTTTTAAAATTGTTTATTTCAGTTTTTATCCTAGCTCTCCAGGGATAGCCCCTGTGCCTGAATAGCTTTGTAGTCAGTCAGTGACCTGGACATGAATTTATATCAAACACTTTGGGTTGCAAGCCTTCTACCTTCTGCTTTTTCATAGGATGGGAGATGTATTCAACATTGCAGCCAGTTCTCAGGTTTTTGTTGGCTTTTACTTTTTTTTCATGCTTTGAGTCTCCAATGTGCTATATGCATTATCCAGAGTTAGCCAGGGAGCTTTGGAAAACTCATTTCAGACCTTTATGACTCTTCTGTTACTAGGGTCTTAATACATTTTTAGCTATTCTGTTGCTCTCTAGCAACTGAGACTGTGACTTTTGGCTAGCAGATTATTTCTGATTTTTCTGTTATTTCTGATTTCTCTCAACTCATAAAGCTGTAGGCTTGCACTAGAACTGTGAGTCCCTCTTACAGCAAGATTGCTGATTTTTGCAGTTAGTTGAAGTCCTTTCTGACCAATCTAGAAGAGGATCAGAACCATAGTCAAGGCCACAGACCCAACAGTTTTCTGAAACTGTATCTGTATTTTTCTTTAGTTCATTAGGGAACTAATTTGTTAATGAGTAACTTGATCCTGTTGATAATTTATTTTAGTCTTTGTTAGAATAGTTTTACATTACCTATTACTCTAGAATAGTGAACCAGTGATAATTTCTGCTGTTTAGTGGATTTTTGTTAATGTTTGGGAACATTTTTGATTGTTAACATGTGTGATACATGTGTGGTTTCTACCAGTATCTGATGTGAAAAGGTTAGAGAGTCTGCAAAACTTGTCAGTATTGCTAAGGTTAAAAACTTTTCTAGAGCTACAGAAGTCGATTCTTTAAGAGTAAGCTTTCTGTGTTTAAACTGAAAGTGTAGATTGCTCAGTGGGAACTACACTATGGTTGGTCAGAACCACATCTCCTGAAATTTCCACTCTATAGTCTTTATTCAGCTTATAGGCTCATTTCAGGCCTCACAGAATTTTGCTGTATTTGTATCCTAATAGTCTAACTCAAGGGCTTTTAATGGCTAACACGATAGCCACAAACCATAGGTTATAGTCATTTAAATTTAATTTAAACAAATTTAAAAAATATTTTTGTTGTTTTTTGATACAGGGTCTCACTATGTAGTTCAGGCTAGGCTTGAACTCACTATGTATCCCAGGTTGTCCTTGAACTAATGGCAATCCCCTTGCCTCAGCCTTCTAAGTGCTGAGATTACAAGTATGCACCACCATGTCCAGCCAAAATAAATTATTATTATTATTATTATTATTATTATTGGTACAGGAATTGAACTCAGGTCCTTGTGCTTGCACAACAGGCAGCAAAACCACTGAGCTAAATCCCCGGCCCCATAAAATAAATTATTTACTCCTTTGTACTTATTACATTTCAAGTGCTCAATAGCACGTGATGCTGGTGGCTATAATGGTAGACAGCATAAGCTGTAAATATTTCTATTGCAGGAAGTTCTGTTTCACACAATTGCTCTTGGGCATTCCATGGAGATTTCTGGAGCTCTTTTTCAAAATATTCTTGTCTTCTCTGGTACCCTCGCTTCGCAGTTCCTGTCCTTTCCACACTCTGAAATTGAGATTTGCTTTGTTTGTACAATGAGACCACATCTCATTTTTGAACTCTCTGTTCCCAGTTTTGGAAAGTGCCCTCAGGTATAAAATCAGGTGAAACTGCTCAAAAGGAATGGGAAACTGTGAAAGAGGGAGGGGGGAAAAAGGAAGGGAAAAGGGAAAAAAATGATAAAAGAAGGAAAAAATGGAAACAAAGCTTTTGTAAATGAGGGAGGGGAGATTGAAGGGTAGGAAGGGGAATGGGAGAAAAAGGAATCAAGGTATATCATGTACATGTACACACTCCCTTGATGAATGTGATCATTATGTATATTTAAATTGTACCAATAAAATTAATTTTTAATAAGTCAAGTGACTGTAGTTAATGCCTTGTCTTTCAGGAATCACAACCCTACACTGTTGACCAGTGCACACAGTTACTTTTAATACTTTTCTGGTTTATTGTTGGAGGAGGACAAATTCAGTACTCATTAATCCATCATGATCGTTACCCACAATAGTTTTTCATAATGCTTGCAATCCTTCATTTTATTGTTGAGCAAAGACTCTATTTTTAAAAATTTATTCACTTAATGTATGGATTTTGCACCTTTAATTTCTCTCAGTGGTTATATCTTATGTAACTAATTCATAAAATAGGAAATAAGGTATATGTAAAATGCATACATATGGTTCCATGTCATTTTACTGTGTGTGTAAATCTTTGTTACCACTACTGCATTCAAGATATGGAACTACTGGGGATGTAGCTCAGTGGCTCTATACCTGCCTGGCAAGCGCAAGGTCCTGAGTTTGATCCCTGATACTGGGGGGGAAAAGATATGGAACTATCCCATCATCATTAAGTTGTTCATGATACCTCTTTGTAGTTATACCCCCTTTCCTTATACTCGTCATTCTTAACCTCTATTAATTGTTTTCCATCTTTGTAACCTGAGTTAGACATTGTTATGTCAGTGGAATCATTTGTACAGCCTTTGACTTTTCTCACTTGTAATGTCATTTAGATCTATCTAAATTATTGTGTACATCAATTGTTAATTTCTTTTTACTGCTGGGTAGTATTTTCTCCTATGACTGTACCACAAATAAAGATGACATAAATGTTGCATACTACTGGGCTGTAGGCATAGCTCAGTAATACAGTGCTTGTCTGGCATACAGTGACCTGCTGGGTTAGATCCATAATACAAAACAAAATAAAAAATATTTATAGGGTTTTGCATAAGTAAGTTTTTATGTGTCTTTGACAAATGCTAATATGGTAAGTATGTTTAGCTTGTTTTCATAAACCACTAAACTGCCAGATTATACCATTTTGCATTCTCACAAACTTTATGAAATGCAGTAAGTCCCAACTTATTACTTTCATAAATATGAGTAGACTTCGCACAAAAATCAGGAAATAGCTCACATGTCTACCTTACCATTTTAAGGTAACCATAAAAGTAAAAAGTAAAAATATTTATTTACAGTATTTTTGTGTGTTTGGTTTTTTATGTTTTACATTATATATTTGTGTCAAAAGTGTAAAAGACTCACTTTATCAGACTTACAAACATCCTCTCAGAACAGAATCCTAAGTTCAGGACTTACTATATTTGGTTTCCTTGACTTCTCACTAGAGTTCAGTATTTTCAATTATGAAAAAGCTAATTTAATAAGTAGTAATACCCCGTCTTGATCTTAGTTTGCATTTTTAGTGACTGACAATGTTGAACATCTTTTCGTAAACCTATTTGCAACCCATATATCCTCAATAAAATGTCTCCTTGTGTCTATTCTCATCATTATAACAAGGCCTTTTGAAGAGTACAGTTTTTAATTTTGATGGAGTGTAATTTATTGTTTTTCTTTTATAGATCACCCTTTTAGTGTTGTGCAAATTCTTCATTAATCTTCAGATCCCAAAGGTTGTCCCCTATGTCATCTTCTGAAATTCTTTAGTGTTGCATTTTACATTTAAGTTTTGAGTTAATTTTGTAAAAGGCGAGAGGTTTAGGTCAAAATTTATTTTTTGGCTAAGAATATCTGATTGTTTCAGCACCATTTATTGGAAGGGAAATCGTCCATTGAATTCCTTTTGCACTTTTATGAAAAAAATCAGCTATGCACATTTATGTTGATCTATTTCTGGGTTTGGTTTTGGTTGACCCATGTGTCTGTATCTACCAGTGTCACCCCGTTTTGATTAGTATATGTATTTAACCACTTAACAGTTTACCCAGAGCATCACTTGGCCAGTGCATTTGTTTACATACTGACTATCCCAAGCGTCACTTAGGTAGGTGTAATTTCAACCAGTCAATTCTTACACTGAATAAATTTGATAAAATTGTCATTTTATATTTCCTGTTATGAAAATTGAAAAAAATATGCAATTTTTGGTCATCCTGTACTTAAATAATTGGACTGGTAAGTGGTTGATAAATCTTGAAATCAGATATAGTGATTTCTCCATTTTGCTTTTGTTTTGTTCTGTTTTTTCAGAATTATTTTAGATATTCTGGTTCCTTTGCCTCTTCATATACATTTAGAATAATATCTTCTATATTTCAAACACTTCCTGGTATTTTTAACTATGTAAAATATATCTATCCCTGGGAAAAATGACATCTGTTCCATCTTGAAATCTACCAGTCCATGAATATTGTATGTCTCTTCAGCTATTTAGATCGTTGATTTCTTTCATCAACTTTGTATATTTTCCATATACAAGTTATGTATATGTTTTGTTAGATTTAAATTTAAGTGTTTTGTATTTTGAGCTATTGTAAATGTTTTTTAACCATATTGTGTGTTCTTTGATTTTCTTCACTCTTGTGATGTTTTACATTAAAATATGTCTTATCTCTGATAACAGTATATTCTACCAAATCTTATGTATAACTTCTATAATAAGCACTAAATTAAAACAGCTTCAGGAATTTCTGAGATTGTAAA